GACGAGCTGTCACTGAATGGCATGATGTCCACAACGTCGGACAGATTCTGGCGAGCCATTTCGGTCGCCGGAAGCGGTCACCCCTACTCTATGAAGTCTGGAACCTCTTTGGTCCACGCTGTCATGGAAAAGTACTTGTTCAGAGAAAAGATGCTCGCTTCTTGCTTTATGGCACCGGATCCCTTGACCGAAGCGAATAACCTCCATGATCCCAACTTGGAGCACGTGTTGCAGGACAAAGAGAGGTTGTATCAGTACTTGTTCGGAGATTCCGTAAGAGGAAGCCATGCATATCAGTCCACTGCAGGGGCTTCAGGTGAGAATGAGTCTGAGCGGAGGAAGAGGGAGAAGGTAAGGAGAGAGAACAAAATGCCATGGATGGATGAATACTGGGGAGTCCTTCAGCCAGAACCAATATACTCGAGGACCCAAAGATGGTACGTCATTGATGACTTCAAGGAGGGTGAGGAAATTTGCTGCGACTACTGTCTGGTCTGCAATCCCATAGACTCCGACTTGAAAGACGATTGCTATGCAGAATGCATCAACGGAGCAGCAAATAGATGCCGTGGGATGTCCGCAGAAGACTTCGTCCAGAAGCGATTCCATGCATGTGCGCGATTGCTTCACAACTTCGGCATGGGGCAAACGGTATCTTCTCCCACCGTCATGATCTCCGAGATGAACCCGCGCGTAGACTTGATGAAGTTCTTACACGAAGCGATGATCATCTTTAACGGGAACCCAGGTTTCCAGAAGGAGATCTCGTTCTTCGGGGGGATCAGGTTGTCATCAACAATGACGGAGAACTTCTTCAAAACGAGGAGAGGACCCAGCATCCATGTGGAAAAGCAGATAGTCGGCAGCGCCAAGTACTACCAGGGATCCTATGACCTTGGAAACGTGTGCTACACCAAATACCTCAAGACCATATTGGAGCCCGATGTATTCCGCACTATGTTCGGAGATGATCCCACGGAGGAACGGGTAGGTGACATGGTGGAAGCGCTGCTGGGCATGCTCGAAATTGCTCAACTCTTCAGGCACATGTTCAAGGGATGGGGTGACGTCGAAGCTTTGAGGACGGGATTAGAAGAATCCATCAAACGCGTCACTGCATCGCTGTACGACAGGACAACGTATGAGAACCGAAAGCGATCGACGATCAGAACCTTGGACCCGCACTCTGAAGAGGCGGCAAACGTGGCACTGATTCTCGTTCGCGTGAGGACCATGCCGCCTCCTGAATTCGATATCGACCACTTCTTCGAAATTGGGAAAGAACCAGAACAGGGAACAGAGGCTACTGACCAGCCCGAGGCCGAAGGTGTCGATATGGAGACTGAAGGTGAACAGGAGAAGGAGGAGCAAGACGCTGACATGTCCGACCCGAAGACATCAATACTGCAAGCCATCGACGAATTCGAAGAGAAGATCGGGCAAGCAGAATTCTGCATCCACTGCATGAAGTCGGGACACACAACTCTCAATTTCATCTTCACCTACAGTCACCTCAGTGTTGAGTGATTGGAAGAAGAGAGTGAAGGGAGAGGTTGCACCCGACGATGTACCATCTGGACATCCAACCGAGGAGCCTAAGAAGAAGAAGCAGAGAGCATCGCCTACTCCAGATAGGAAGGTCGACAGCGAGTTCAGGCGAAAAGAAATGTTGAAAGCAAGAGTCGTGACAATTTTCGACCATGACGGATTCACCTTGATCGAAAGTGCTGATGGAGTCGAAGGAGGGACACATTCCTACAATGGGCGGAAGCTTGCGGAAGTAGGCCCTAGGGATATGAGGGTGGTGTACGAATTTGTAGAGAAGGCATTTGTGCACTCCAGTTCCCTCACACCAAAGGCATGTCATCACTTCTATCCCCTACCGACACGGAGGGAGAAGGGATACAAGCCGATCGACCCCATGACGATGGTCGGGAAAGTTGAGCTAGTACCGATCAACGGAGTCACTTTCGCTGCACAGAACTCCGACTACGGCAACCACAAGTATCCGACTCCAGACTGTCGGGTACCTGAATACAGCCAAGCGAGCCAGGCCCTGAGTCGTCGATTGGGAGCGAAGTTGAGGCATCGAATTGGACGCCAGTTCAGGACAGGAGGAAGACTCACACCAATCAAATGCGATGAAGGCGCATGGGTGTCATGGGAAGACCTGTTAGGTGATAACGCAGTTTGGGAAGACGGTTATCACTATGGCAACATAGACATCGTGACCAAGAAGGCGCGTTTGGAGAAGTACTTCGACCAGAACTATGAGTGTTTCCGCATAACCAAGAGGATCAGATTCCAAATGTTGGCGGTCCGCGTTCACCCTGATGAACTCAATGACCCTGATGACCCGATGGAGAAGGAATGGATTGACGAACTCAAGGGCATGGGAATCTCCAAAGGAAGACTCCACCATAGCGATGGATGGTGCTTTCCCGTGGCTGTAAGAGCAACCTCAGCACACTCAACGGACGGCGGAGGTTATGACGTTACCATCAACATCGACCACATTGGATCGAGAATGACCAACGACATGGCCCTATCTATGGTGACTGCATTTCACGCTACCAATCTTGGAGCGCTGACTTCAATCATGCGACGGGGGCTAGTGCCAGGAGGTCTCGGTTCATCGGGAAGGGATTCTATCCACTTCACATGTTTTCCGCCATGGGCCTGGGAGCAGGGCTACAAGGGAAAACCTTGGCTGGGTCGTAAGGTCGCATTGAATGATCGCCCAGTGGTTCTCTACATTCCGGTGTGGAAGCTGCAGGAGTACGGACTTCTCATCTCAGCGACTGGATCTCTTTTGGTTGAGAACGTCGTTCCCTTCGATGAGGTTAAAGGGGCATGGTTGCAATGCGACAATGCGGAACCCGGACAGCCTGAGGAGATCGAATGGATCAGGTTACTCAACAGGGAACCCGACCCTGGAAGCTATCTTGTTCTGGAGTCCAAATACGGAAACCCGATCATGATTCCACGCTATCAAAAACTTGAGAGTTTGGCGGTTGAGGTTCAGGACGATACCTACTCCGAGGACGACGCCAAAATCTCAAAGCTGTTGGGCATGATCGAGGAGAGTGGTGTTTACCCAGAATATGATAGCACCGAGTGGCAGGAAATCTTTGAGGAGATCGTGTACCGCCGGGCAATGAAAGACTATGACTCAAGACCGTGTCCTAACTGTCTTGGCGAAGTCGATGTGCGATTGACGATATGTCCGCACTGCGTAGCGGTTTTGATCGCGAATGGGAAGCTCACGCATGTGGTACCCAAGGAGACAAGGGACCGCAATCAGCGATCACCTCCGAGGGATGTCCCAGCCAGTTCTTCCGGTGAAGCAACTTCTGCTGCAGGTGCAAACATCGATGAAGTCATCAAGAATGCACGCAAGACAGCCGAAGAGGTCATTGAGGTCGAGGAATCCGAAGGAGAGGAAGAGGAGGAAGTTCCTATCATTTTGAAGGAACGACCGGACGAAGCTGAAGGCGAACCCGAATACCGGGAGGTCCCTCAAGATGGATACGGGAATGAACTTCCGCAACCTTTCCCCTTCGCAATTGACGAATTGCCACAAGAAGCTGCGATCCCCATCGACCACAACTTTGCAGTCACACAACAATTTGATCTGAGGTTGATGAAGTTGATCAAGAGCTTGGCCAACGCAACGTTCGACATCAACTGCTTTGAGAGTCGTGATGATGTGCTGCGAAAGTTCGACGATGGACAGCGGCATGACACTCCATACAATAGATGGCCAATAGTACCGAATGATCCGGATACTGGGTTTCCAAGACGCCTTCAGAGAGCCGAGGTCGTAGGCATGAGCAAATGGACCAACGACGTGTATGCAACAGAAGCGTGGCAGATCTATGAATTCCACGCCCACGTTGTTCACCCGATGATGATCACTGCAATCCGCTGCGGGCTTAGCCACAAGTACCTCAAAGAGGTCGGCAGCACTCGGCGTAACATGAGTGATCCAAAGGCTCGAAGGTCTGAGACCCAGGAAGAGATCATCGAGAAACTGGCATTCATCTCAAATTTCATCAGACGCTTGATCAGGAAGACCTTCGGAGCGAGCCGATATAGTTACTACCAGAAACCAGATGACGAAGGTGCCGCTCCATACAAATTCATCGACATTAGTCCCGCCATCAAATCGGAGCGGAAGAATGTCACGAAGGAGATCCTCGTTGCATGCCGCTACTATGGCATAGAGGTATCCGATATTCAAGCACAGAAATTGAAGTTCTTCGAGGAGCAGATCCGAGCGGGAAACCCAAGGAACGTTGAGCCCATCAAGGACTACATTGGCTTTGTCGGAGCTGACTACATGCGACAACTCACGAATGGTTGAGCATTGGGGTCATACCGACATACTACATCCGGTACTTCAAGTACTGAGGGATCTTGGGTAATTCATGATGACCGTTTTGGCATCATGGGAGTGAGAGAGGATTGTGTTTCACACCGTTGGTAATCGCATGATACCATAGGTAGGTGCACGTTTTCCGTTTGTAGCTCCATTACCTGTTTGATCCAACTTTCAAGCGAATGCAAGATCGTTTGCTAACTCAGTTCAATAGGACATACTGGTTGACCTCCAATACACTTTTGAGAACGTGATTCGTTCTCCGGTTTTTACATCCACTCATCTCCCTTCCCCGTCGAAGTACGGATGTGGGGGGGGGTGTCAATAGGGATGAGGTCTCAGTATAGTCGCTATACAGGTACATGCCATATACTTTTGGCTCAAGTGCCCAACCAGGTAAAAAGGAGCTTTAGCGCGCGAGCTTCATGTTGAACTAAGGGCTAGAACGGGGCCAGGGCACACTTTTCATCCGTTCGCAATTAATATGCCCATTGAGAGGAGTTGCCTGGGGTCTTTGGGGATTCATGCGAAGCGCAGTGGCCGCATTGGGATTCGTGGAGCGCTTGCTGCGGCACTTCTCCGCTTAGCCGCCTTCAAGTAAGCTGCTGAATTGGATCAGGTCACCATTGTCTCCGGGTTTGGCTTGCGAGATGCCAAGTGGAAGCCCAGCAGCAAGGGTGTCGGCCTTTCCTGTCACTTGGCCGCAAGAAGATTTCCCAAACTGACATTCACTCCAAGCTAGCCGCAGTTTTCTCTCCGAATAAGTACAAGCGTGGCGGATTGAAATGGGAAAGCAATTGCTGTATCGTGCTTCGTCCGTTTTGTTCGCCGTCACTTCCGGTTCAACAACGGTACATCCAAGCTCAACAATACTTAGTGACAGGCGGACAAATGCTCAAGTTGTCAGCACATGCCAGTTGATTCAATCACCACAACTACCATGATTCAGACGAGAAAACTTGGCAACAAATCCCGTACTGCAATGAGGGGTTGCCCTGCAATTAGTGTAATTGCTTCTCGGTCTCCATTGCGCTCCCCGCCCAAGGTGCTGTGGATGTTCATGGCAAGAAGGCCTGGAATGGGAATTCTATCTCGGAGGATTTTTGTATATGTTTTTTTGCGGCACATTGTTTGGATTGATCCTTTGAAGGAACCATGGAAGGCACCATGCGTTCGCCAGCATATTGAGCAACGAACCCTGAAAACCTTTGCATCATACTAGTAGCTATTGTTTGTGATGTTTGTGTTTGATCGGGGATGGACTGACAGATGGACAATGATGGACATGGGGATGCCCACTAAACCTGAAACATCCTGAAACACAAACCTTGGGGATGTCACTAACCTGCTTCGACACCCTCTCACCGTCACCGATTCTCCTTTCTCAACCTGAGGAGCGATTTGAAACAAAGGGCATCCACACCGCCAAGAACCCAGTTCCTCGGCATGCACGGTCAAGATTCCTCGTCTCGTTTGGAGGCCAAACGAACCTGAATCACTTCGACAAACTCCGGCGACAACGTTCACGCCATCAGCTGTGAAAACGTGCTCGTACCATCTCGTACCATCCCACTTGATCAGTGAGTAGGTCCCTTTGCATTAGTCAGCACTCCACTCTTGAACATCCACCACTTCATCCCTGGGGAACGTTTGTCGCACCTGTCGCGGTACCCACATGCAGCGACATGTAGCGAACAGTTGAAACCTATCGCTGGTGAGGCTCGCGGCGCTAGGCTGAGCTTTCAACTCGTGGGTGGGCCACCATATTGCGTCCGATCCAAGTCTTTGCTTAACACTCCACTCGAATTGGATGAGTCTGAGGAAACATCTGAAAGCATATGAACACATCTAAGTAGCGAAGAAGGAGGAGACGAGTAGATATATAGTGCCAGATAGTGCCAGTAAAAGCATGGGGTGCCACAAGGGGAAGGCCACAAGTTGTAGGCTTGTGCATGGGAAAGGTGGGAACGCCTTAGGAGAAGGAAATCCACGCTTTTAGCAGTCGCATTCTTCAGGGAAGTTGTCTAATTGGCCGATTGCCTTCATGAGAGACCTCGGGCTTTTTGTCCCAAGGGAGGCCAGGTTCACAAATCAATGACACAAACGCTTAAAGGAGCTTAGCTCTAAGCTTCATTTGCACGTGTGTTTCTGACCGTTTCGGTGGATCCAGAGGCAACAGGGCCTCATGGCTCAGGTTTGGAATCACAAAGCGGAGCTGCAGATGTCTTACAGCCCCTTGGATGATATGCTAGGCTTCTTCTGGTTTCTGTGGATCGTCCTCGCAGCGATGCAAGTGCCCCAGCACACGCTCCAAGCTTCCAATCGTTCAGCGCCTACACTGCACCGTGTGAATGGTTAAGAACGCAACAATCAATACCCCGCGCTTGACCAACAGCACAGCAGATGCAGGAAGCACTCATGTACTCAAGTCGCTATGGCATGGTTGCCACTCCAGAGAATATTGAAGTTGTTGGAGAAAAGTGCTGTGCTGTCAGTGCTGTTTGAGTCGATTCCTCTCAGTGCGAGCGCCGAGGTGACACGCTGTGCTTTGCTGTACAGGGCGAACAGAAGTTGGGACAGGCTAGCAGAAGTTGTTGAGGACTGGCCTGAAAAGGCATCAAAGTCAAAGTGATACGCTGGGACGAGCGACCAGCCTGATTCCCTTTCATACTATTTCCTACTATCAGTTCTTGCAGGCAAACACATGCCTGTGCCCAGTAGCGCGGCCTTTGTGTAGGGAACCTGAACAGATCACACACCGTGACAAGATGAATCCGCAGGATGCGGCGACCAACGTCAAAACTAATAAACTAGAATAAGATTCTTACCCTTTCCCGGCCACAAGTGATAGAGTTCAATCAGGAAGAATACAGGTAATGTAGACCTTTGATTATTAAATATGAAGAGGTTATAATACAGTACTGCATACAATAACCCAAATCAATCCAAATGCTTATTATTGTTCTAAATAAAACAAGCGTATACAGAAACTGAAACTTTTCGGAGTGGCAATCAGTCAGTCAGGCCTTGCTACCAGCCTCTCGAGTGGTCGCGGCAGGAGCGGGTCCAGTTTTCCAGAAAGTGAAAAAAACAGTGGCGATGACTTTATAGCTATAGAGTTGCTCCTGCCTTTCGTAGGACCCAGATTGTTTTGCGTCTATTGCATGGTTTAGTACTAGCCTTGCACATGCACAGACAACCTCAAGAGTGTAACTTTGCCCTAGATCAATTGAATAGACAATGTTATTTTTACCGTGTCAGACATTGGCTCCTGTGTCTCCTGGTTACAGCAGTCACTGGACTAGTTTGGGAGCCGTCGTGCTATTTCAGGCAATTGGTTTGCCAACTTGAGAACCTCCTCCAGAGACAGACACACTTGCACAGGTCGTCAGCATATTCTGCTCATCCTTCCCAGGATCCGACGGCTATGACGGAAATTTGGCTTTGGAAGAGAGGGCCACTGAGGTTGCGGCTGATGCTGTCATCAAGGCTGGCGCTAGGGCTGATGTTTTTCAGCAGAGAAGGATTTGGTTGTCATAATTGTGCATGTGTAAAGTTATGTGGTGCGTTTCTCCGGAAGACCGGTGTCGATCACACCCTGGGAGATGCGGCGAACGCCTCATGGGCCATTGTTAAGGCTCAAACATCACCATGGTTTGCCAAGATTAACGGTGCAGACTGATAAAGGTGATGTTGATAGGTTCCCGTGTCATCCTCATTTCTTTGAAACCAATCCTGAGCATAAGCCACAAGTGAATCGTGTTGCTCAAACCGGTTTTTGTGGAGGATAATGGGAGTTGCTTGACTCAACCATTGTCGTGGACATGTTCTCTCACGCTGAGACAGTAGCAACCCTATTTCTATGTGCCTCCGGGCTTTATACTGTATATGATATGACTCACCCCACGCAGGTTGCCACTGGCCACAGTGTTCTGTTTCAAATTTTCTCTCCTTCCTTGTGTACCTCGAACCACCCAAGGGCGACTGAATGTTGTACGTCATTTACGTCCACGCAGCCAGCCTAACTTACAAGCGCCAAATGACAAGCGCATGATGCATTCAAGTCATGAGCATGCTGCATGAGGAAGCTTGCTCGCCGCAGGGCCCAATCCAATGGAAACAGTAGAGAGAGAGAGAGAGAGAGTGGACAAGACAGTATAGTCGGCACGCATGGCTTACCTCGTCATTAATCAAGTCAACTTCCGAAGTGTCGATACTTTGTCAGCTTTGCGTGCTTAGATTCAGCATGCTAGTACCGTGACCTTGAGACAACAGGATGTGCTCGTTGTGCTCGCGCTTTGACATGCAATTTTTGTCTTTGCCATGCCACTGGACTTAGCCTCCAGTCGCTTGCGCTCAGCTGGGCTTGCCTCAGCAACCTGCTTGCTGAGCCTGTACGCAGGAGGAGACGAGACGAGTCAGTTTTCTCTCTTCATCGATGTGTGACAATTGTTCGGACATGTTCGGACGCAGGGGATGGGTTTTCAACCTTGGCCAACACCAACGCAGTCACAAGCCGTGAACTTAGTTTGCCCAATCTGCTATTTTTGCTTTGGCTTGCCACGTGTGCCACACAAATGTCCTAGGTATGGGGAATGAGGAGCACCGAAGGACTCAGAAAGGCAGTGCCCAAAAGGCAGGGTCTCACAAAAGTTCTTTAATCGTCGTTGTACTTTGGGTGTCTTCACGTGGTTTCACATGTGCCAGAGTGTCACTTTGATGCTGTTTTGGACAAAATCCAAAAAGATCTTAAAATGCAAGGGAAGGTTGTATACTGTATACCGTACTGTAAGTAGATCGTTGGTTAGCAAGGCTAGCGCACAGTGGACTTGCTTTGCTGAAGTGCCACTAGGATCTGCGGTAACCGATGACATTCATGCTAACATGTTAGCATCGATGTGCCTGGCAGGGTCCAAGAGGATATTTGTGCTGCGGCATCTTGCTGACGAGCGCTGCTCTCGGTGCCTTCCGCAGAAGGCGCATGTGAGTATTCTTTAGGCCATTTTGCTAGGCTATGTTTGAAATAGGCGCAATTTCACAAGGCACTTTTTGCGTCGTTTGACGCAAGTCCGGTTAGTTTTTCAGGACACCAGCCAGCGGATCCAGGGCACAAGTCATCCCTGAAAGCCAGTGGCTCAGCGGCAACATGTAGTCAGCGACAGTTGTTTAGCACTGCGTGCTGGCCCACCACTGTTGCCAGTGTTTGTTTTTTCCTGCAAACCTCCTCGATAAAGTTGCGCATATGAGCCAATGAGCCCTAAGTCATCATTTTTTTTAGAAATGGTTTCTAGAAATGGATAGAAATGGTGATTGAGTTGAGTTGAAAAGGAATAAAGCTGTTTAGTCACTTTAGTCTCTTGGATCCGTATGACGACTTTGCAAGTGTGGATGTCCAAGACCAAGCGACACTGTACATTCTAGGCATCCCAGCATACATCAACGACCGGCGGCAGGAGTCACAAACCCATGCATGTTGTTCGAAAGTTAGCGTGAACATTGAACGGTTCAGTTTTTTCCCGGGTATCTTGGGCGCATGCCATAGAAGGCAACGGGTGTAATGTGAAGAATTTGGTGCACGGCCGCTGCACAATTGACACTGCGAGTGCAGAGCTCACAACATTCTCAGATGTAAAGAGAAGAAGCATGTCCATCATGTCCGATTTCTCACTTCCAAACATGTGGGTTGAACTAGTTTGTCGAAGTGCCGTGCTGTATGATACTGTATGCAAATATATGCAATTGTCGTTAATTGGACGATCATGGAAGCTCCCTTCCTGGACGGGAATGTGATCCAAGGAAAGGCTGGGCAGTTGCAGTGTCGCGATTCCAAGTCGTAGGCAAGTGGGAAAGACATGGGCGAAGCGAGAAGCACCGTTATTTCATGTCAATTCCCTACTGTAATTAGCATGGATGATAGTGCACATGAAAGGCAGGCTTGAGCTAAAGACATTTAGAGTTTACAGGCTGGCTGCTGGCTGGCTTGATTTTCATAAGCTCAGACAACAATAATAGCCGTGCTGCCATCTGTATGTGAATCATGTGGCTTAGAGCAATTCATGAGTGCCGACGTTCACAGCTTCCAATCATGATGGCCACGGCTAGGACACAAATGCAATGGTGAAAACCCTGTGGTGTTCGTGAGGACATCGGTGGGTCAAAACTCGGGCACCCTGATTGACCACAAGAAAAAAATATGATTTCTCTGAAAAACGGATGTCAATCTTCCATGGTTTGGTGGAAGAGGTTTTGACTCACAGCCATGTATGGACTCGATCAATCTGGAGAAGCACAGGTATCTCAAGGCGGCTGCCCTGGCGTGGCCCACAAGCCCACATGCAAATGTTCGGAAGCTAAGGGTGTCAAATTCTGACTCATCGAACAACTTCCACAACAGACGTGCAGCAGTAGGGACGTACTACTTGTAGGGACTACTTTGAGTCTGGAGAGGCTCTGGTTGCATTCTTGCGGCACAATACGCGCTCCTTTTGATCTTTGGGGTCTATGGTTCGGAGCTTCTTGACCCAAGTGCCTTGGACGGAGCACAACAGGTCTATGAGTGTGGGGCAAGAGGAGGTGGCCTGAGGCGTCACTACTAGTGCCAATATTACTAGTGCAGACTCTATAGTGCCATTCAGCACCGGCAGATCCATGATGTTGGCATTGCATGGCATTGCCATATCAGGGACTGGTTGTGCAAGAAGACAGGTGGTTCTTGCCTCTATCACATCTGGGTTCCCTGCCAAGGAGATGCAAACAAGCTTTATGCAGCGGCTAATTGGGGCGCTTGCTTTCTTTCTGCGCCTGCAGGGCTTTGCTTTGATGCGCTGGGCCCAGCTTGGTCGTGGCCTGAGTACGTTGCTGTTGGAATACTCTCCACAGTCAAATTTTTTGCACATTGTGTACCTACACTACTGTAAACCCTCTGATTGATGGGAGTGGACGGAACTGATTTGCAAAAAGACAGTCTTCCAGGTTCGTGTGGTGCCTGCTTCCATATTCGGACTCCACGTTGGAAAGCAAGGAAAAACCTGCCGAAAGAAACGTGTTTCTTGACTGAAGAGGTGTGAACTTGACCGAGCGCCTCGGAGGTCGTCCTTGCTGGGTGGCCTGGCCAGTTCGTTTGGCCTCGCCCTTGCAGCTCTTGCGCTGTCAGCGGCGCAAGGGGCCACTTCGCCAGGGCCCCAGACACTTAGGAGTTCACCAAGTCGGTGTTGCCCAAGAAGCAGGACCACAACGGAATGTTCCATTTTAAGACGGTGACCCACGAAGAAACCCCCAGTTGTTGCAATTGCGATTTCAAGATCTCGTTTTTTTAAAATAAATATTTGGACAATCAGTCAACTTGAGGCTTTTTGTGGCCTCATTGGGCTACTTGGTCTTTGGATTTGGCACTACGCTGCTGAACACTGCAGCTTGCTTGACTCAAAGAGCACGTGTTCAGATTGAGGGTTCACTTGTTCAATTGCAGCCTGCAGCCTCCATGATGTTGCATCACCAAACGCATCATACAGTTTTTGAATAGGCGAGCAAACCCCGAGTCAGGAGGAAAGAGGGCTCGATTCCTTTGGTGGAGCACCGGTTTTGTGCAATCTGATCGATTCAGCCATGGTGAATGCTTGGTGCTATTGAAGTGCTTGAAGTGCCCGTCCTGCTGCTTTTGGATCAAGTGGTTGTTTTTTGTTTCTTCTTTTGAGACTGTTGAGAAAGGAGTTGAAGTCCTGTAGCACATTAGGTATAGTATGATATGATGATATAGTATTGTTCAGTATCAGTAGTATATATATCCTTACAACAGACTGGAATGCCAGTCAGTCTCCTTATATAAAAGGTTGCACCTCCGAACCCGCTGCTCATTCCAAACATGATTCCGCCGCATCCCATGAAGGTCTGATTTGACAGACCGGAAGGCCATGGTGATTGTCCATGCGTTTGAACCTGCCCCCTGGAACGAATCTGCTCCTGGGGCACCATGGGGTGGCCAATCGACCATTTGGGACGCCTGCAGGGATTTGATGCTGGCAGAGAAGGGCCGGTATGATCAGCCAAACCACCTAAAGGCTACTCGTTTGCATTTTGAGTTGCCCCAACATAGTGAGCAGCCAGGCATCAAGGAACCCCCACGGAGTGCTACACTGCGGCGCATGCCACAGTGGCCAGCTCCAACATTTGATAGCGCTGCCTACAAGACACTGCAAATGAAACTGCCACCAGAGCCAATACCACCATTACCTTCAGCACATGGTCGCTTAGATGGACAGGGTGAAGGTCCTAAAGCTGGAGTGGGGCCTGGACCAGAAGAGGTTGAGGAGAACTTGGAGTTGCCTTTGGAACTGAAGTGGCCAGGTGTGCGTCGGGTGGCATGGGCCGTCCCTGGTGACAAGGAGTTCGGGGCACGTGCAAACTCTGCAAGCCCGCGTTACGCACCCCTGCGCTACGGTGCTGCCATTGTTCGACAGCAGCGTGTCTCGAGAGCACGCTCTGCGCTACAA